TTTATTTTGCAGTGTATTGAGATGATTTGCCTCCCTTAATCTGTTAGTGAGGCTGGTGATATTTATGAAAGGTGATGCTTTTCCATGGGAATGATGATCTGGAGTTCTCCTAAGAGCAAATTATCATAAAAGCCTGAGCCTGACCCCTGAATTACTCTGTGGCTTCCTGTTCAGTGACGATCTCTCGTTCCCATGAATGCTCTCGTGATTGTCGTTAGTCAATGACATCTCTATGAACCTCTAGAATTGTGAATCAAAAAAAAATCTCTTTTTGTTTTAAGGTTTACCTGCTCCAGGTGCTTTGTTTCGGTGATGAAAACTGGATCAGTAAGAAAGGCAAGCTAGTATTGACAGACGTAGCTAAGGCTATCTCAGGCAAGCAAGAAGTGAGGCTATGCAATAAGTCATGCACTTTTCTAGCCTTCCCCTTTGTTTTTACTGTCTTCTTGCAGTACTGGATAATTGAACCCAGGGCCTTGCCTTGCTAGATGGCTACTCTACCATTGAGTTACCCTAGTCCCTCTCCTCACCCTTTTTAATTTATTTTGAGACAATGTCTTGCTCAGTTGCCCGGACTGGCTTTACATTCACAGTGTAGTCAAGATAGACTTTGACCTTTTGACCTTCCTGCCCAACACATGAGTAGCTAGGATGACAGGTATGTGCCACCATGCCCAGCCTATAGTTCATTTGTTTTATGTAAACAGCTACCTAGCTTCCTTTCACTTAGCATTTGCTTGATAAGCCTTTTCCTGTAACTTTACTTTCAACTCTTTCAAACCATTGTTTTCAATATATTTCAATTAAGTGGCATATGGTAAGATTTTTAAAAATGCAATATGACATATCTCTGCATTTGAACTGGACAATTTTGGTCATTTACAATTTAGCTTTTTTCCCCTATCATTTAACTTTTTACTTTCTACACATTTTCTTTACCCTCTTTTTCACTTTTCTTGGAAGTTTAAGAATGGTTTGAATTTGTATTTATATCCTTAATATGTTTCCTTCTTTATTGGTGAATTAAATATATATGTAATATATAAAAATATATAATGAAAGTATACAGCATGAACTATATAATAGTAGACATACTATATACATATATATATATATATATATATGTATAGTAAAGGCGTAATTTGATATAGTTTCTCATGCAGTTCAAGCTGCTGGAAATTTGACCTTGAACTTCTGATCTTTTAGTGGTTATTCTTACCTTCTCCATGAATACTTACTAAAATCTGAAGTTACTATTTGAACCACTTCTTCCTTCTCTTCAAGTGTGTTGAAATAGTTTGATTCTGATAAATTCTCCCAACTTAAGCCCTAGAATTTTCCTGTCTTGTGCTTCTCAGGTTTTGGGGACTGCAGACTGAACACTATCATTTTATAAGGCATTATTCAGATTTTCTTATTAATTTATTGGCTTATCCTTGTTTCTCAAACCTTTCTTTTGGATTCACTTTCTGCATTTCTGTGAGAAGTTCCTTTACTGTTCATGAGAAATCCCAGGTCTTGTTTTGTTTGATATCTTTATTTTATTCTCAAGTATGAAAGTCTGTTTTATTGCAGATGGTGGTGCACGCCTTTAATCCCAGCACTTGAGAGGCAGAGCCAGGCGGGTGGGTCTCTGTGAGTTTGAGGCCAGCCTGGTCTACAGAGTTAGTTCCAGGACAGCCAGGGCTACACAGAGAAACTCTGTCTCAAAAAACAAAACAAAAAAAAAGAAAGAAAGTCTGTTTTACTAGGCAAAATACTCTTAGTTGGTAGTTGTTTTTGCTGCCCTCTTGAAAGGGATTATTCTGCTTCCTAATGATTTCCACCAGTACTACTGTCTTCTAAAATTGTTGGAGGTTCATTTTTCTCTCTCTGCCTTTCAGGTTTCACTTTATCTTTGAGGTACTCTATTTTTACTACCGATTATGCACATGTGGTCATCTTTTTCTATTTCTTATTTGCTAATCTTTTTGTGTATTTACCAGTTTTAGAAAACATCTAGGGTTTAGCTCAGTGGTTAAGATGGCTCATTGGCTGCTCTTCCAGAGGACCTGAGTTCGAATCCTTATACCTATGTGGCAGCTCACAACCATCTATACCTCCAGTTCAGGGGATCAGATGTCCTTTTCCGACCTCTGAGGGGATTGCATGCGTGTGGTGTATAGATACACAAACAGCCAAAACATCCATACACATAAAATAAAGGAAAACATTAAAAAAAGAAAGAAAAATATCTAGTCACTGACTTTTAAAATAATGGATTTCCAGATTGGCTGTGGTACGCCAAGCATTTAATCTTAGCACTCAGGAGGCAGAAGCAGGCAGATCTCTTTGAGTTTGAGGCCAGCCTGGTCTGAAACAGAGAGTTTCAGGTCAGCCAGGGCAACATAGTGAGACCCTGTCTCTGAAAAGAAAAAAAAGTGCTTCCTGGAGCTGATGAGACGGCTCAGCAGTTAAGAGTGCACATTAGACTTGCAGAGGACCCAAGCTGGGTTCCCAGGACTTGTTAGGCAGCTCACAGCCACGTGTAACACCAACTCCAGGGGATGTGACACCTCTGGCCTCCAAGGGCACCTGCACTTACATGCACATATCCACACATACATATAATGAAAAATAAAATATATCTTTAAAAAGAATAATGGTTTCCCTTCCATTCTCTCTATTGACATCTAGATAAAATATGCCACATTTTCATTCTATATGCATATCCCTTAATCTCTTTCATCTTTTCATCTTCATGTCTTTGTGTCTGAGTAGTATCAGACATATATTCAAATTAGCTATCCATTTCTTCAGACTTACTTAATGTGCCATTTAACTTTTTTGATTACCTTTTGTTGTTGTTGTTTTGCTTTATTTATTTATTTATTTATTGAGACATGTTCTCATGTAACCCAGGCTGATCTTGAACTCCTGATCCTCCTGCCTTCATCTCCTGCATAGCAGAACTATAGGTGTGAGCTACGCTTAATAGTTTTATTTCAATACATTTTGTATATATTGCATTTATTCAGTGTGTGTGTGTGTGTGTGTGTGTGTGTGTGTGTGTGTAGGTCAGGGGACTAAATGTAGGAGTCAATTCCTCCTTCTACCATGTTTGTTCTGGAGCTCCAACTCAGGTTGTCAGCCTTGACGTCAGGTGTCTTGACCTGCTAGCCATCTCACCAGTCCTGGTTTTATTTACAGAAATTTATTTTGTTCCTTTTCCAGTTTGATCGCTATTCCAGTCTTTATAGTTGCTTGTTGATTGTTGTCTTCTGCTCCTTTAAGCAACCCATCATCATTTTGCATCTGACAATTCCAATATCTTGAGGCTTTGAGGCTTTAAACCTATTGCATCTTAAATTGCCTGACTCTCATCCACAGTGACTTGTTTCCTTGTATACTTATTGACCCTTTTGTTGTTGTTGTTGTTGTTGTTAATTCTTCCTGCTGCCTGAGACAGGGCTTCACTGTGTAGCCTAGGCTAGCCTCATTAACATCCCAGGTGCCCAGATTACCGGCATGTGTCACCACATCTGTTAACTCATCTTTGACTGGTTCTAAATCAGAAAATTTAAAGTGCTTTTCTCCTCAGGAGATGAGCGGTTTCCTCTGCCAGTGTCAGGAGTGCTCTCAGCAGGGAGTCCTTTTCTAGGACATCAACTTCATCTAAGAGTCGCAAGTTCAACTCTTCCTACCTCACCAATGGGCTGAGCACAGTTTTCCGATACAATTCTAATGCAAAAGAGGCAGGGTATTTCTATATTTTATTCGTAGTAAAGCACTCTCTCTGTTTTTTGTCATACTTTTAAATTGTATTTGTTTCTGGTTCCCTGGGAATTTCTCCTGGTAATATAAACTAAATATAGTGTACGCAGGGAGGATCAAGGTGTTGTGAAACAGGAAGACGTTTCAAATACCCAGTCTCAAGTATTCAGTCTCAACTGTGTCAATCATGACTCACCTACTGCAGTCTGGCTTTAACTCCTGCTCATGACTGAAACTCCTTATGCCAAGCTGATCAATGGCCCCTTGTTGTCAAATTTAATGTGTCTTTTTTTCTTTTGTGATTGTTTTTTCTTCTTTCCTGGGGAATCAAACCTAGGGACTCATACATGCTAGGCAAGTACCCTATCACAAAGGTACATGTCAATCCCAATTCTTATTTTGAATTCCTTTTCATACATGAAGCCCTCTGAAGTCCTGGCTGTTCTTTCACCCCAGCCCACCCATTTGGTTTCTTTGAGGCAGGGCATCGCTATGTGCCTCAGCTGGTCTTGACCTTGAGGTCCTCCTGTTTCAGCTTTCTAAGAGCTGAGGTTCTAGGCATGCACCATCACACCTGTTCTATCATTCTTGAAAGCCCCGTCTTTGTGTGATGGCCTCTTTGCTTGTATTTCTCCTTATCTTTCTTGATATGCCTTTTCAGACTTCTTTGTGAGATCCTTTCCACCAGACTTCACAAAATACAATCCCTGAGGTCCCAGGGGCTCATCTTCAGCTTTCTTCACTTTCTACTCTACACAATCTCCTAAAATAATGCCATCCACTTCAGTGGCTCAGTATCCTGAATTCTCTATGTGTATTGCCTGCCAAGACTTTTGTACATGCTTCTCCTTCTACTTGGAATGTGTCCTCCTATCCCTTGTAACCTTTGATGTATGTTCCCTAAGTGCCTTATATTGTATCTATTTCTGTTATTTCTCTTACTCACTGTATTATAATAATCTGTTCACTTATTGTCTTCCTCTGTGAGATTGTTTTCTGGATAGAAGTCATGGCATAATTATACCTTTATCATCTGTCTGGGATATAGTCAACAGTACACAAATGGATATTTGTTTAGTAACTAAGAGAACACATGAATGTATGAATGAATGTATGAATGAATGAATGAGACTGATGGCTTTGGAATGGATGATTTGCAATTTGAAAGAAAGTGAAAGAAGGTAAGAGAAAAAGGAAATAACTTGTACATTTAGGTTGTTCATTTGTTCAGTTTGCACACAGGGAGATAAAGTTATTTCATTTCATCAAAAGTTTATTGAGCATCCAGGGCGTGCTACGCACTCTGCCAGATGCCAGTAATACAAAGATGAAGATCAAAACAAAGCAAAACAAAAATAAAAACAAACGAACAAACAAAAACTTCCTTACTTACCCCCGATTTAAGGCAAATTTGGCTTGAGTCTGGGAAGCCAGCCCTGTCAGGATACAGCACCAGGGTGTGGCATGCTCTCATCTCACCCTACTCCTCACCCCTGTGTCTCAAGGCTGACCAAGGTAGTCCCTTCTCCAGGTCTTACATCTCCTAACCTGCCTGCACTATCACCTAGGTGCACTATTTTCTGGTGGATGAGGCAGCTGGGAAGGTTAGTGGGTTGTACGTTCTGGCTAAGCAAGGAGAGCTGCAGACCAGCCTGCCACATGAGCAGGGAGAAGACCATCAGAATGGAGAACTAAGAGACATGCTGGTGAGGTGAGGGGATGCAGGCAAGCTGGATATCTTGGTGCCTGCAGGGCTGGCGCAAAGTGTGTTCTGGTGCGGAGGTGATGGATATGGGGGGCCTTGGGAGTTGTTCGTGGGATGGTGCAGAGGCAGAGCTGAAGTTTAGGAGTTGAGGAGGGACAAGAGACACAAGGTCCCTTGGCAGCATCAGGTAAGAGAGGGCAGAACATCCAGGACCTTCTTGTCTTTCAGCTTTTGTGTGCTTTCTGTCTTTACACAGTAGGTTATTTCCTTTCTTCCAAAATGCCTAAAGAGTGGTGGCCCAGGCGTGGCCCAGGCCCTTGGTCTTCTGATGGTACAGATTATGGAGCTGGCTCTGTCCACTGGGTTCTGAGCATCTAGGAGCAAGGCAGTGGAAAGCAGGAGGCTAGGGGGTGGGCCATGGCTGCCTGACATGCTGGGGAGAGCTGAGCTTCTTCTATCTGTGTTTCTCTGGAGAGCAGAATCTTACTTCCTTACAGCTCCAGGAAGCCCCTCAACCTTCCTGGGGATGATTGAAATACTTGTTTCATAAGAAAGCAAAGAAGAAGAATGTGAATAGTTAAAATCAGGTCCTTGCCAGGTGCAGCTTTCTGGGTCAGTGGTAAGCGGGCATGTAAATCTCTGGAGCAGTGGTTCTCAACCTTCCTAACGCTGCGACCCTTTAATACAGTTCCTCATGTCACGGTGACCCCCCCAACCATAAAATTATTTCATTGCTGCATCATAACTGTAATTTTGCTACTGTTATGAATCACAATGTAAATGTCTGATATGTGACCCCTAGAGAGGTTGCGACCCTCAGGTTGAGAACCACTGCTGTATAGGCACAAGCCCACCCACATTCTCATGAACAAAGACAGGAAGAAAGATCAATATGTCAGGCTTCTGAAAAGCTATTGGAGGCCACCAAGCACTGGAGGCCTGATATTTTGTCTTTGCTTGGTCCCAGGTTCCCAGGGTTCTAGGAAGAATGCACATGGGATTCACCCTCACTAAAATTTGGAGGGATGGGAAACCGGGTGTCCCAAAAAGGTCCTCTAAGACAATGACTCCTTTGTGCTCAGAATGGCCTCTGTTACACCCAGGAACCAGCATCAGACTTGTCTTTAGTTAAGGACAGTTTGTGTTTGTGGGTAAATGGCCTCTAATTTGGGCTGGGGTGGGGTGGCAGGCACCACAGACATTAGGGATGGAGGCATGGGGAGCTGGGAGGTGCATGGGAAGCATAAATGCTCCCCCCGGGGGCTCATAGGATGGTCTCACTGGATAAAATTACAGATGTTAGTTTCCAGAAAACCCTTTAGGGGATTGGCCTGGACATTTAATAATCTATGTAGTCCTAAGAGGGCACAGCTCATACCCACTGAGAACACAGCCAGAGAACACAGTCAGTAAACCCAGCACACATGCAACGGGGTTTAACACCGAGATCAGCGTTTCACCCATTTGTGCAAGCTCACACACGTGTGCACCCTAAACGGGGATCAGACCACGATCTGCCCTCGCCCTAGGCCAGCGGCATCCGGACTTCTCAACCTCCCCCCCTGCTGCGAACAGCAGACCGTGGGCAACCGGAGCAGGCTCCCAAGGCAGCTCAGGCACTGATCTCCACCTGCCCAGTCTCGTCCTGCTCGCGGATTCTGTGCACGCCCGCAGTCCGCAGTGTGTGCGAGGCGCTGCGTGAGCGGCCGGGCGAGCTCGGGGCCCGTGGCGGTGACGTGTGCGTCCGGCCGGTGGCGGGGGAGCGCGCTGGGGAGCGTGGGTAGCGGCGGGCTGAGCGGATGGGCAGCCCCGGAGAGCGGCCCGGCACGGGCGGTGACACGGAGTAGCCAGGTGGTCCAGGCTCTGTCGTGCTCCGAGGCTCTGTTGCAGGGTTCTCATCCGGCTCCGGGGAGTCCTGCAAACGCAAGCCCTGCAAGGATCAGCGTTCCCCTGACCCAATCTGGGAGCGCGTTTTGTTTTAGGTACCCGGACTACAGAGGCTGGGGTCCCTCCGAGTTTTCACCCCCACCCCCACGTACAACTAGGTGGCAGACACAAGTCTAGGAATACACAAGACACTTAGTATGGCCCAGGCACATGACAAGTACTCAGTAAATGTTAACATGAATCGGTGCCTTGTCTCTTAATCCTCTTTCAGAACAGGTCGTGGCAAAGAGGGCTGTTGCATTGCATGTGAGCAGAGAACAGAGGAAGGGCTGTGAAGCCCACAAGTAGTCTTGCGACAGGAGATATCCTGCACGTGGTGGAAGCTGGGGTAGTCCCTGAGATCTGGAATGCATTGAGTCAGGTTTGTGTACTGTTGCCTATAATTGTGAAAGTAAGGTCTGCTACTCATTACTTACTCATTTAGCCATTCACAAGTTTGTTTGTTTGTCTCTCTCCCTGTCTCATTTTTTAATCTCTAAAGTGGGGATGACACAAAGATTTCTGCAAATACTGCAAAGGGATGGCCACAGCATCAGCTCCCTAGCGTTCCATGGGGACTCCTTGACAGGGCAACTCACTTTGTCCTTCAGGATATAGAGTGCCATTGGGTTCTTCCGCTCCTGTTCTCCACTTCGGGGTAGGGTGTCTGCTGCATAGGGAAAGAAGAGAGTGTCTGGTCCAGGGACAAAGCCTATATACCACTCAGCACCTATGTGCTTGGCTCACACCCTGCTTTGCCCTTCAGACTTTCTCATGACCCACTTCTTCCTTTTCCTCTCTGATCTGCCTCAGGTCTCTCTGATCTGAGTGCTGATGGGCTGGGCCAGTGGGTGGCTGAGCGCTCACCTTCTGACTTTAGGCGGTCATCGTTCTGATCCATGTATTCCAAAGAGTTTTGCTTCTCCAACTTCCTCTTCTTCCTGCAAATCAATCCGACCCCCACCAAGAACAGAGCTATTGAATGTGAACAGAAAACCTAAAGAATGGACAGGAAGGGTTCTAATGACCACAGAAGAAGCCTTATGATGGGAAGATGGGTTGAGAATGATGGTAGCCCAGGAACTTAGGAATGAATCTCATCTAGGTTTGCATGCTACGATAGCTGTTAGCATTGTGACTGTGGGTAGGCCATTTATCCAATGTGAACAGCACACTAACCCAGCTAGACTGAATAACCCAAAGGGAAAGCCACCATCAACAGTGCTGGGGTGGTCAGAGGTAACCGAGCACAGATATGGTTCCATATACAGTGAAAAGGTGAATACATACACCTGAAAAGAGGTGCATCCTAGGAGGAAGAAAACTCAGAGATGAACATAGAACTTGGGAGCTGGGGTTGAGGGATAGCTCGGTTGGTAAAGCGATTGCCTTATAAACGTGAGGATCTGAGTTCAGTTCCAAGAATCCACATAAAACAGACGGGTGTGGTAGCACACAATTGTAATCCCAGCACTGGGAAAAGACAGGCAGATCCCTGAGGCTCAGTGTCCAGCCAGTTTAATCTAATTCATGTGATCCAGGCTAATGAAAGACCATGCCTCACAAAAGCAAAACAACGACAACAAACCAGAGTGGATGGCTCCTGAAGGACAACACTGGAGGTTTACCTCTGGCATCCACACACGTGGGGATCTACATACACCCGCACCAACACATATCCATACTTCCACCCATACAAGCATGTGCGTGAGCACACACACACACACACACACACACACACACACACAGAATAGAGCTCGAGAAATGGGGATGTAGCTTAGTAGTAGAGTGCTTGGCTAGTATGTGCATGACCCCAGATTTAATACTAATAACACAGTCAATCACTCAATATTAAACATGGGATTGAAATAGGCTGAAGGATGAACCAAGGCGTGAAAGTTGATGTTACCTAGACTTTTTAGAGGGTTTCCAGCAGGCACAGACTGTCACCAGGGTCACAAGGAGGAAGATGCCTCCTGTAGACAAGATGATATAGAGGGAACTTCTTCCTAAGCAAAAAGAGGCAGAGAGGTAGGGACAATTTGAGAAAGGAAGCAGGTGTGGTGAGTAAAACAGTAGAACTGAGGGACTAGAAAAGGGCCCCAGTAGCATGGATAGGCAATGGCAGAGCTTGCCAGGAGCCTCCCTCTCACTGGTGGCTCCTCCAGGGACAGTCAGCCCATCTCTAACCTGTCTTACTCCCTCTAAACCAGTGATTCTCAACCTGTGGGTCACAACCCCATTAGGGGTCAAATGATCCTTTCGCAGGGGTCGCCTAAGAGCATTGGAAAATCTATATTATGATTCATAACGGTAGCAAAATTACAGTTATGAAGTAACAATGAAAACAATTTCATGGCTGGGGTCACTACAACATGAGGAACTGTATTAAAGGGTTGCAGCCTTAGGAAGGTTGAGGACCACTGTTCTAGACAGTCACTCTCTGGAATGTCCTTAGTCCCAGTGGACACCCATATCTTGGGCAGGCAGGGAGACTTACTATACACGGTGATCTTGACAGGCAAGCTTCGGACCTGGCTGATAGGGTTCTCCACCACACAGCTGTACAGGTCGTCATCCTCCATGAGCACTCGGGTGATGGTGAGCACCTTTTGGTCAGGGGACAGGAGCATTCGGGAGTCATTGAGGAGGGGTTTGCCATCCTTCAGCCAGGTGTAGCTGGGCTTGGTGCCATTCTCGTGGGAGCAGTTGAGGGTGAAGGCCTCACTGAGCTCCAGCACAGTGGTTGAAGCCACTAACACGTGTGGCTTTGAAATGGGCACTGAGCCCCAGAAATGGGAGAGTGGAAATGCCTGTGAGTCAAAGTCTACAACATGATTCCTCCCCCTTCTTTATTCTCCCGTCTTTCAAAATATAACAGTTCAGACTGTAGCCTGAGAAGTCCCTCCAGAGATCCTTAGCTTTCCCATAATCTGTCCATCCATCCATCCATCCATCCATCCATCCATCCATCCATCCATCCATCCATCCGTCCATCCATCCATCCTTCATCTGCTCATTCTTAATCAAGCATCTTCCAGACTAAACAACACAGCCATGATGAGTGCACTAATTCCCTTCTTCCTAAATATGATTCTAAAACCGCTGAGCTTTACTTAAACTGATCAAGCCTAGAAGACATTTTAGTTGGGGACATCTAGGTCCAGCTCTCTAGGTTTAACACTATAGGCTCTAGCCGGGCGGTGGTGGCGCACGCCTTTAATCCCAGCACTCGGGAGGCAGAGCCAGGCGGATCTCTGTGAGTTTGAGGCCAGCCTGGACTACCAAGTGAGTTCCAGGAGAGGCGCAAAGCTACACAGAGAAACCCTGTCTCGAAAAAAAAACAAAAAAAAACCCAACAACAACAAAAAAAACCACTATAGGCTCTGTCAGTCATATGAGCTTGGGCAACTTACTCTCTGTAACTCATTTTCCTTGTCTTCAAAATGAAGAGAGTGACATTATCTAGCCCTCGATTATTGCAAATGTTAAGCAGGCTGGTCCATGCAAATACTCTATTCATGTTAGGCACTACCTTCTAATGCCTGCTCAGCCTTTTGTGTTTTCTTAGGTCTAGCCTCAGTCCCAGTCTTGTCCTGCCTCCTTCCCTGCTGAGTGCTTTACCATCTACGGTGAGATTGATGGTCTTCTCCCCTGTGAAGGTATCGTCAGTGATGGAGATCTCCACTTCATAGGTTCCCTCATCCGCCAGCTGCAGATCGCTGAGAAGCAAGGAGCCATTTTCAAAGAGCCGGATACGGTCTCGATAGTCCGGCCGCAGAGTGCCGATGACCTCTGTGCCTATAGACTGCACCACAGTCACTGGCTTGTCACGTTTCAGCTGCCACTTCACCACAGGCTTGTCGCTGCTGGTGCTACTGTACTGCACAGAGAGCAGGGCAGACTTCCCCACCGTGCCGTGGATCAGACGTACTGGGCTGGTGATGTTCACCCCCTCCAGGGGGACTGCAAACAGAGGCCCATTGGGGAAGAGGGCAGTGTCAGCCCCTTAGCTCCATAGCCCGCTTCCACCTTCAAGCCCTCTGATGTCCTCACACCTTCAGACCCTTAACTTCCTGCCAGTCCTGGCTTCTTACCCACCAGCACCATCTCCCCTCTCTCCAATAGAAGTCCTTTGCTTCCTCTCCTGTGTCTTTCTTTCCTCCTAGCCATCCCAGGTCTTCTGTGGCTTTGTCGCTCTGGCGTTTTCCCCACCGTCTCCCTCTTGCTGGAGATTATACCTATCCTCCATTCTACATTGTTTTCATAAAAATATTGATTGAACATCCTATGTGTCAAATCTGATATGAAATCAGGATGTCAGGAAATAGAGAAAGCGCGATCCCAGAGAAGGAGGAATGTATGCTGAGACAATGCTCAGGAAGAGGACCCTTAGGACCTGAAGACCACACAGGTTCTTCCCAGTCACACCAAGAATCCTAAATCCTTTCCCCAGGTATAACTAACTGTGTCTTATCCAGAGGGTTCAATATGAAACAGCTGGGCAGCTCGGTGGAAGTTCGGGGAATTCACCTAAATTCCAGCCCCATTTGTACTCTCCACGAGGAAGTGGAGAGTAGAATAAGGAGTTTGGAAGCTCAAGGCTTTGCAAGACTGGGCTCCACCACTTGCTGGCTGTGTGCATTTGGATAAACAATCTTTGAAAGCCCCAGCCCTCTCGTTTATAAAAGAAAAATAGTGGCTGTGGACCAGGCACCAGCCTGTAATCCCAGCTCTTTGGAGGTAGAGGCAGGGGGATCAGAAGCTCAAGATCATTCTTGACTACACAGTGAGTTGAAGTAGGAGGCCAGTCAAGGATAAGAGACCTTATCTAAAAAAAAAATTAAAATTAAAAAAATTTATATATATATATATATATATATATATATATATATAGAGAGAGAGAGAGAGAGAGAGAGAGAGAGAGAGAGAGAGAGAGAGAGAGCGCTAGGGATGCAGGGCTGTGCTTTTCCATTCCTTCTCTGTACTAGATTGTTCAGATCAGATCACGAGATAAGTGAACTAAAAGCTTGGTTATGGTAATTAAAGCAAATTTTATTTGCTAAACACATTCCATTTGTTTTCAGAGTAGGTGCTGTATCAAGTACGAGCTCCTCCTTTCTGTAAAAGCTCAAGGAAAAGCGAGTTGACTACGTTTTCACCTCTCTGGGCCTCAGTTTCTTCCTTTGTGCAGTGAAGTAGTTAGTGAGACCAGATGATCTCTAAGCAATTTCCAACTCTCACATTCTATCCACCATCAGCCGGTGCCACTCAAACCTCAAGAGATGAGGCTGCAGAAAAAGCCTCTGTAGGTGTGAATATCTGAATACCATTTGCTTATTGGAGGGAAGTCGTAAGTTAAGGAAGTTAGAACAGACAAAGATAACTATTTGCAAACTTTTTCTTTTGTCTTGTCCTGAGAGAAAAAAATTGCTGTGTTGTCCAGGATGACTTCTACCTCACAATCGTCTTGCCTCAACCTCCGGAGTACTGGGATGGCAGAAGTGTGCCAAAACACTCATCTCATAACTATTTTTATATTAATTTTTCAAGATAACATCTCATGTATCCAAGGCTGGTCTCAAACTTGCTCTATCAGCAAGAATGATCTTGAAATCCTGATCTTCCTGCCTCCACCTCCCGAGTCGAGATTGTTGGCATGTGTCGCCACACCCAGTTTTATGCAGTGTTTAGGAGGATCCTAGGGCTTCATGTACACTAGACAAGCACTTGTCAACTGAGCTACATTGCAGCCCCTCAAACATAGTTCTTAAAGATTTATTTTTATTTTATGTGTATGAGGGTTTTGCCTGAATATCTGTATATATCATGCACCACCTGCATGTACCTAGGGAGGCCAGAAGAGGGTGTCAGGTCCTCTGGAACTAGAGTTACAGATAGTGTGACCTATCATGTAGGTGCTGGGAATCGAACCTGGGTCCTCTGCAAGAACAAGTGCTCTTAACTGCTGAGCCACCTCTCCAGCCTTAAAGATTTGTTTATTTTTGTTTTTTATTTATCTGTATGTATGGGTGTGTCTATGTGATTGTATATTATACAGGTCTGGGTGCCTGTAGAGGCCAGAAGAAGACATCAGATCCCCTGGAGCTGAAGTTATAGGCTGTTGTGAACCACTTGGCTCGAGTGTTGGGAACTGAACTCGGGTCTTTGGGGAGATCAAGAAGTGCTCTCAACTACGGAGCTATCTCTGGAGTGCTTCTCCCAAACAATTTTTTTTTGGAGACAGGATCCCACTGTGTAATCCTGGCTGGCCTGGAACTTGCTTTATAGACCAGGCGGACCTTGCATTCACAGAGATCCACCTGCCTCTGCCTCCCAAGTGCTGGGATGAAATGCATTTGACACCATTCTTGACCTAATCTTAAACTTTTTTTTAAAACAAAAATATTTTTGTTTTCCTAAATATCTTACATAAAAATGGAAATAAATGAAATATGGTCCCATCTATCTTATTTGTTTTAGCAGAAGATATGATGGGGACTCGGTCCTCCTCCCCAATAACACAAAGAGCTACTAGGAATTCCGGTGGCCCTGTGTATCAGACTGAAATCCAATTGACCACGTGATCTGTATAGTTTATTTCAATTTTCAGTTTATGTGATGACTTAAATGGGTTTTCCTGTCTAACAACTAGTAGGTCCCATTCTTGGCTAGATTTAGAAAAGCAAGCTTTCAAATTTCCCTAAGTGAGCAAAGGGGCTTTGGTATGTATGAGCTGAGGTGGTTCTGGGAAAAAATCATGGAGAATACTTAAAGGGCACCATGGTGATGCTCAAATAAAGAGGGGACATCTACTCATTTCTCAGGACCCAGTCTGAAACTGTAGGACAAGCACATGCCAGTTATATGTGTGGAACCTCAGAAGTTAGCAAATCTGAGTAAAGAGGGGCCAGAGAGATGGGGCAGCGGTTAAAATCGCATTCTGCTCTTGCAGAGGACCCAAGTTTAGGTCCCAGCACCCATAAAAGTGGTTTACAGCCACCTGTAACGCCCGTTCCAGGGGATCTGATGTCTTATACATATACACACACATACACATAAATAAAAATAAAATGTATATTTAAGAAGTTTGAGGAACTGGAGAGATGGTTTAGCAGTTAATAGCATTGGTTGCGCTTCCAGAGGCCCCAGGTTCAATTCCCAGCACTCACATGACAGCTTACAACTCTCTGTAACTCCAGTTCCAGGGGATCGGACACAGACTTACAAGTGGGCAAAACACCAATCAATGCACATAAAATAAAAATAAATAAATCATTAAAAAAATTAAAAAGTAAAATTTTTGAAAAGCAGCCCTACTATGGTTTGGATGTGGTTTTTTCCTCAAGAGTTTGAGTGATGTAAGCCTTTTCTCCAAGCTGGTGGTATTAGGAGAGAATGAAACCTCTAAGTGTAGAGTGGGTAGCTTCCTGGGAGTACTGTCCCTAGAAGGAACTAAGATAGTTATTGGGGGACTTTGTGCTAATTTTCCAGGAATTAAGTTGTTATAAAAGAATGAGCCTAAGCATCCCCCTGCCGCTTCCTGTTTTACTATGTGATTCCCTCTTCTCATATACGTTCTTTGATGCCATCAATTGTACCATGATAGGACATAGATGAGGGTCTTCTCCAGAGCTGGGGTTATGTTGTTTGGACCTTCTACCTCCAAAACTATGAGCTAAACAAACTTCCTTTCTTCATAAACTGTCCAGCCATAGATATTTCATTATAGAAATGGAAAACTAACTAATACAAATCCCAAGCACCAGACTTTAAGGCCTCTTATTTCCTTCTACCAGTGATAATCCTAGACCTCAGACAAGTAGAAGGTATTAATACCCTTATCTCTTCTATAATTTCTGTGCTCTCTCTCTCTCTCTCTCTCTCTCTCTCTCTCTCTCTCTCTTCCCTGGATTATATTGTCTCCTGCTCCATTCCAAGTTTCCAGTAGCCTTTTTGTGATGTTTCCCCCTGTAATTATGCTTTTTTTAAAAAAAAGATCAATTTAGATTACATTGTGGATAAAAACGATGGAGAAGATACAGTTTTTCACTGCCTCCTAATTTACCCTAGCCCAGGTGGTGGCCTTCCTTACGGTGTAAACATGGGTATGCCTGAAAGCAGAAGGGATACATGCACACTCATTGTAAGAGGATGGCGCCATCTTTCTTGGATGCTGATGACCAGAACATTTTTGCTAAGCATGAACAGTTGCCTAGAGACTGGAAAGAATCTAAGTTTGGGTTTCATAACTTTCAGGCGACACAGAGAACTGGGACAGGAGCCAAGCAGAACACAGAAATGAGGAAATGGCTAACACCTCAGGTCTAGAGTGGCAATAAAAGGAAGAAGGATTATTCCACCTGGAGAAGCAGTTAACTTAATCATTGTTTCTGAGGCATCGTTATATAGAAAGTCTCTGTTTCCACCATAGGCAGCAAAAAAAAAAAAAAAAGGAAATTACCATCTCTGCCAGATCTGTCTAACTAAACAATGCCCTGGTGTTTATAAAGGTCAGAAGCTTTTACTCAAGGGGGATTGAACCTCCTGTGACACTGAAGAAAGACAAACTTCAAGAATGTGTCTGCACAGAGCTGTGATTCTTTTCTGGTTTCATCCCTTAAAGGAATCACCATCCCCTAGTTTTCACACCTTTACAGGGCACAGTTTTCATTTTGTCTTAAAGTCACCTTTCAAAAGCATCAGGGGGACGGCGCTGAACTCACGGTGCGGGCTCCCTGCACCTTACCCATTCTCTAGCACCAGTAACCACACTTGTAATCCTTTCTCTCTGAAGCAGGTTCATTTGCTTGGGTCTCTGAGCATCCTAGATGCCCTTCCCTGGCCTTTCCCAATTGCATGATTCCCTTCTGAAGTATGGTGACAAGACCCACACACAATAATCCAAGGGCAGTGAGAACTTTTTTTTCTCTGAAAGGAAGAACATTTTGCTTTCTGCTTTGGGT